GGAAAGAGGAAGCAGAGCCTGCAAAGCCAACCTGGTGGTGGAAGGGAGCACAGGAGAAGGTGTTAGAGCAGAGATGTAGACTAGGGCAGAGCTACACTAAAGAACAGCAGAGGCTGGAGGAGGAGGAAGCTAAGGGAGGAATCTGAGGGAAGCAGAGAAGTGCTGCCACCAGGGCAGGTACTTACGTGAAGGGATAGACCATGGCAGCCACTGAGGGCTCGTCCCGGGAGCAGATGTAGTCGAAGTCCAGCATGCCCTGCACAGCCCGTGTCTGCATGCCCCAGATGATGGCCTTGGTGTGCCGGCTGAACAGCGTGGTGGCCTTACCTGCCAGAGAGAGGGGAACCCAACGGCACAGGATGTTCACCAGGGCAAGACAACAGCTGCAGCTCTGCCAGATGTCTGCTCAGCCTCTCCCAGATGAGTGTATTCCCCTCCCAAACCCAACAGGTGAGCTGCAGGACGTGGTAACCACGCTGTCCAAATTGAGGAAGAAAGTGTAGATGGAGCAGCATCCCCAGAACCCTCCCCAGGAGTCTGGGCACAACAGCCAGGTTTTGGGTTTCACAGAATGGGCAAGAGCTTCATCACAGGGTGAAGCTGATGTAGAAGAGGAGAGAGAAAAAGTGATAACTGCCTCTCCCTCTTCTCCCATGGGCCATCCATGTTCCTCCCAGACAGTTTTATTCTGCAAAGCTGACGAGGAGGGAACATTGAATTATTTATTTATATGTGACCTACAGTCTGGGAGAACCACAGGAGGTTTTCCTCCTACAGTTGTCAGGACTGCACAGTAAGAGGATAAGAAATGAAAAGGAGAGCAGGAGTGGAGGGGATGAAGAAAGCAAAGGAGCTTGACACGCTCAGCTTTTGTTTTAAAGTGTGGAGTTTTTTGGTTGTTTGTTGTTTTTTTATGATCAGAATCCAACACAAATCTGATGGCTCCAAAAATTTATGTATGGCCCAAAACTTGGCTTTGGGGAACAGAGTCACAGGAAAAGCAAAGGTTCAGCTAGTGAGGATGGACTGTTTGGTTAAAGTATAGTTAAATCACTTGTCACAGCAAAACATTGGGTTCCTCCCTTTGTCTCCAGGCAGAGTTAATTTTAAAACTCTTAAGAACTCAGAGATGAACCAAATGCTGATGCCAACTCAGTCGACGACTAATTTCTTTTTGGCTTTCAATCAAAGGTAAAGAGGATTAGGAATTAGACAGGGTACTGTTCCACTGTTCTCCAACCTGACACATTCAGCTTAGATGCACTGCCATGTGATTCGTTAGGAAAATGCCTATCCTGAAGAATTCCATTTATTCCACTTGTCTTGCAGTTGCCTGCAGGGAGGCAACATCAGCATCCACAGACACCAGAAAATGTGGGCCCAGGAAGGTGATGCTCTTTGAGACCAGACAAGGAGGAATCTGAGAGTTCCCCTTCTTAGGAGAGAAGAGATGGTGTGAAGCTCTACTTGGCCCTTGATGCAGTTTATTCTCATCCAGCAGAGAGCTCAAGAGAGTGCTTAAAGTCTCCATAACTTCACTGAGCACAAGCTGTAACAGTTTGCTGAATTGATAAGGCAAGAGAACATTTAGTTCTTTCAGTGACTTTTCCGTGCCCTTCAAGGCTCAGAAGCAGACACCTGCACTGTTCTGTTTCCCTCTGAAACAAAATGCCAGTTGTTAGGCACGGTTAGTGATCCCTCCTTCCTGAAAGCAGAGGGAACAGAGCTTTGCACAATATGCCTGGGTCTGGTTTTCTCCATAACTATTGTAGGGGGAAGGGAATGAAAATTCAGGTTTGAGACCTGTCCCCCTCTCCCCCAGAAATACTGAGTTTTTGTGCAAAGGAGCATGTGATCTGAACTTGAAACACACAGGTGAAAGGTTGCTATGGTGACAGCTAAATCTGCTGGGCAGGAGGGAAGGGAAGGACCAGACAACACTGCAAACTTTTGGAGAGAAAACACAGCAACAAAACCAGGAACTAAAAAGGTCAGCTGCCAGCAAGGCCAGGCACATTCAGCTGCTCACACGTGTCCTACCTGCACCAGGTCTCGAGGCTGGGCCTGAATCTGTTGAAGAGAGAATCACTCATGCAGCGACAGGCCAGGGCTGGCTGCTGGCACCCCCAGAGCAGGGGCCTGGGGCAGGGGCAGCACGTCCCTCCTCCCCACAGCACTCGGGCCTTTGGGACTTGCTTTTGTTAAAAACCAAGCTGACTGGAGCACCCTCCACTGTATTTCCTCTCCAAGTAGCTGGACATCAAATTCTGCATTTTGCCATCTTGAAACTTTTTGCTTATCCCAGCACAAACACTGTTCAGGTTCAGGTGACAGTTCCTTGCACTGTGAGCTCCATGGCTCATGTTTTACATGTAGTTTTGAATAAAGTATTTTTTGACAGGTATCCCAACATTGCTTCCTTTATATCCAGAGAAAAGCATTAGCCAAGTCCACATTCTGCCTTCTGAAGCAGAAGAGCACTGCTAGCAAGCGTGCCCAACAGTGAACTTACCAAGAGGTGCTGCTGGCTTTGCCTTCTTGGCTGGAGCAATCTCATCTGGTCTGGACTCTGAGAAGGATGCTGTCCTGCTCGGTGCTGGAGTCTGGAAGGTTCAGAAGCCAGGTCAGTAAGGGCCAGTGCACCAGGTAAGGCCTGGAGCCTGCAGGACAGGATGGCCACTTTCACTGTGCTACTCAGAGAAAAGCAAAGTTAATTTGGAGGTGGGACCATTTCAGTCAAACAAGGAAAAACTCCTAAGTGACCAGGTTCCCAGTAGATGCCCAGGTCACACTGTTGCTTCTGAGGGGGTCACACCCCCTGCAGGAGCGAGGTGTGGGCTGGGAGGGCCCCTCCTGACCAGCCACGCAGGGTCACTTCTCTTCTCCTGGAGCTTTGTACAAATTCAAAGGTGGCCAAGACCCGTCTCGGAGCTGCTGAGCCAGGGGGAGGTGCCCTGGGGGCTCCCCAGGAGCGTTCCCCCACGGGGGCACTCACCGAGGGGCTGCCGCTGGCGTTGAGCAGGAAGTTGGCAGTGTGGGCAGCAGCTGGGGGCTGGTTGGGGATGGGCCGGTGGCCCAGGGCCATGCCCACGATGGCAGTCATGTGAGTCTCCGTGCCAAAGACGTGGATGGGGATCCCAGTGGTCTTCCCTGGGCACACAGACAAGAGCAGTCAGCCTTGGGGGGAAGGAGGGGAACTCCTGCCCGAGGGAAGCAGTTAACCTGGACAAGGCTCAGCAGAAAGCAGGTGGGAAAAACAAGATGCCAGAACAAAGCTTCAGGACGTGGCTGGTCCTTACCCACTTCTCCCATGACACGCAATCCCTCCTGGTAGTTGGGGCCCCCTCTTCGCACAAAGATCCTCACCTCGTGCTCCTTCAGGGGACCCTGGTAATCCTTGATGGCTTTCACAATGCCCTGAAAGGAACACACGGGACAGGTGAGCTGGGCAGCCCAACGTTCACCCTGCCCCATCACCTCAGAGCTCCTGGGAGAGATGCACTGCCAGCCTCAGCACAAGGCTGGGCTGGGGAGAACCATTTGGGGTTGATCACTGGACATTTGCTGATACCTCTGAGTAGTCACTTACTTTAAAAGTGGCTGCTACATTGGTGAAGTTTGCAATGCTGCCTCCAATGATCAGGATTTTACCTGAGGGAAGAAACACAAAAAATTGTTTCAAGAACACAGTGTAGTGTAAGATCATGAAGCAACTTAGGATATCAAGTGAAACATTGCTGCAGTTCAGACTAACCAAGAGTTTGCAGTAAGTTGTGTTTAGCAGAGCATGAAAGATAACAGCTTGGTACCAAGGAAGGATTTTTCTGGTAAGTATCTCTCAAGCCACATTTGCTCCTGTCCCTGAAGCAAGAGCTGACAGAAGTCTGTTACTGTTCCATTCAGAAGGCAGCATCACATTAAAAGCTCTGCCAGGGAGGTCTGAGCACAGGAACAGCCCAGATTTGTTCAGTTTTTCCCCCACACACACAGCTCCACAGCTGAGCATCTCTGAAATTGTAACCCTTACCTTCAGGGTGCTTCTCTCGTGTCATGAGGGAGAGAATAGTCTTAGCATAGTCATAGGTCTGTTGCTCACTTGGGGCTCCTGAGTATTCCCCATAGTTGGCCAGTTCATTCACACCCCCCAGGTCACAAATGGTGTCACTGTAAAAGTTATTTGAGAGATTAGTTATAATTTGAGTTACTATAAAGGTCTTAATGAAGAATTCTGAGTTCCTGGGAAAGTGGGGCTGGTAACAGATCATGCTGTCTGCTGGAAACAAAGCTGCTCTCCTCTTGCTGCCAGCCATGACCAGTCTTGTTATGCTCCCCAGACATGAGGGGAATTTAGTGACTACCACAGCAACAATATTACCATAAACAGTTTTCAGCCAGCTTGCTCCTTTCCAAGTCAAAAAAACCTCTCTCTAAATTATCTCTACATTCCACATCTTGGTGAGAAGCCCACACAGCACCCTCACTCTGCAGAGGTCCCAGGCAGTCACAGTGTGGGAAAGCTGCTTTACAAGAGTCTCCTCTCCAGATGCTGCATCAATTATTATCTTCCAGCCCTTTAAATCCAACCCTCTCTGGGAACCTTGTTCCTGTTACCTGTAAACCACAGAGGCACCACCACCAGCCACCATGGTCCAAATCCTGCCTTTGGGGTTGAGGATAGTAAGCTTCAAGCTGGCCCCACTCTTGGCATCCAGATCAGCAATGTAAGCCTCCTGCAGAGAGAGCAGCACAGTTCAGCCTTCCTCCTGCACCCTCCTTCTCCAGACCAGAGTGTCTGTGGTGCTGGGTGCCTGGACGTGCAGAGCTCCCACATCTCTGCTCAGCTGCAGCTGAGGGGAGCAGAACTCCAAACACCAGTTTTGTAAGGGATGGAGAGCAGCTTCATCTCTCAGGGGCCAGCACTGATTTGTGTTCTCCAGGGCAGGACACTGAAACTGGCCTGGGCAGAGACACCCTGTGCTGATCTCCCTCTAACAAAATCAAAGGGGATCAGCCAGAGCATACACTCAAATTTTGATTCTTGCTTGGAAAAGAAATCACACCCTTGAAAGAATCCCTTGTCTGTCTCTTGCTTGTCCCATGTGAAATCACAAGTGATTGCTATAAATAAATTTGCCATTACTTCACTTGTAGGGTGCAGATCCAGAATCAGATCTCTCCTATTTGCACAGAAAAACTTTGGAACTGGAGCTGAGTGCTGGCTGTGTTTCACTAGCTGCACCACCAGCCTCCTCCTCCACTGCTCAGCCAGCCCCAGGAAGCTCCCAGGTGTCATGGTTCTGCATATGACAGTCAGGATCAGAACTAAAAATCTTGTTCTGACCTTGTGTGCAGACTGGGACTAGAGAAAACTTTAAATCAACACACCCATGGCTACACACTCTCTGGCTGTGCTGCAGCCAAGAACGTAATCACCAAGAGAGCTGTAATTTGGCTGAAGATGGTGTTGCTGTATCACAGTGTGCTGGCTGGTTGAGAGGCACTTCATTGGGAGTTCATTAAAATTCCCCATGAAGACACTGCCATAATAACCTTCACAACGACTCGCAGAGGGATGATTCAGAGAGAGGAAAACTAATCCTTTTAAGAGCAAATTGAGTTAAGTGCTGGCATCCAGCAAGCGACACGGAGAGAAACAGCTAAATGGATTTCCTGGCTGTGGTACAAAAACCTTCCCCAACTGAAGAATAATTACAATTATTAAAATGAAAAAAGTCATGACAGGAATCCTTTTGGAGACAGCAGAAGAGTCACCTGAACCAAGTAACAGAACAATTAAGGCGAGAGCTTGACTTCCAGCAGTGTCTGAAGCTGCTGGGAGGCCAGGTATGAAGTGGAGCTTATGCAGCCACCAGAGCACCCAGGCAGTTCTGAGAGGGAACAGGCACTTCAGCTTTAAAAGGTGCCTGCAGGCCTCTTCTTGGTCACTGTTTTTCAAGAAAACAGGTGTATTAACATCTCAGCTTTCTACTCCAAAAGTTGAGAGCTGTCAGTACTTTCTCTGGATTCACACTCGTGTGCAGGTTGTGCACACTGCTGCTCAGCAGCTGGCCGTGCAGCACTGAGGGAGCAGCAGCTGCCAGGGGCCTGGCCATGGCCAGGGCTCCAACCAGAAACAACGATGCTGACAGGGGAGCAGTGCTGGCAAGAGCCACGTGAGGAAGGCTGTACAAGTACAAAGCTTTGGCACACTGCTGAATGAAGTTAAATACAAGTCTCCACTTCAAAAAGTCAATTCTGAACTAAAGAAAACAACTGACAACCCCAAGCAACTGCAGTCCAGAGTGCCATTATGGGAAGTCCCAGGACTAAGCAACCTGTTCACAGGTCTGCACAAGCTCTTATGGACAAGAGTGGGGGGTTAGGTCCTTGAAACCCAGCAACAAGAGCCCTAAGAGAGAAAGGGCCCAATACCACAGACATACAAGCCATGAGGAATTAGTGTTGTGGTCCACAATAAAGGAATTGGGGCCAGAGTGAGTTATTTACCTCTGGGTAAGCTTCCCTGCCAAAGGGAGGGGGGAACTCCACATCTCCCCACTTCACTTTGCAGATGTAGTCAGCAGTGGCATCAATCTTTGCGGCCAAGTCGAGGATGTAGACTCCATCCTTAGTCACCACTGCATTTAAAAACACACCAGAGTTACTGTGCCTTGTTCAGAGACCCACGTTACAGATTTACTCACAAAATTTGATACCATGCAGAGATCATTACAAAAGCCTACAGGTCACCTTTGTCCCCTCCCTCCACTCTGGTCAGTGTTATTCACCAAAGCCACGACTTCCCTTGAGAATTAACTCATGACCTTGGTCATGGACCAGGGCCTGGCTCAGGTGCTGCTTTGTTCTGACCCAACAAAATTTGTGTTCTTCAGTTCTGACTCGACATCCCTTTCAATGGAATTTTTCATTTCCACCAGGAAATGAGGTAACAGAACACCTCTAAGCAGTCCTCACTCTTGGTTCATTCAGCTAACAGACCCAGGACACGTCATGGCCACTTGTGTACCTTTTTGCACATGCCACCTTGTCCTGCTGCAAACTACACCAACCAGAGAAAGATAAAGAACACATTTCAGCATTCCAGAACAGAAAGTCCTGCTCCCTAAAGTATCAGTTACCTAATGGATTGATCTCAAGGTATGTGAAATATAGATCTTCATAAAGGTTGAACAGGCCACAGATGAAGCTAGCCAAGATGCTGTAAAAAAAACGAACACAAATTCATTAAAGCAGCCAAATAAAGCACAGTCTGCTCTGATTCATTTGTATTAGTGGCAATCTGCAAATCTCCTCTGTATCAATTTATTTCATTCTCATTCATCTTCTCTAGAAGAAGGCTCGGCGATGACTCAAGGAAAGGAAGACCTTGATGACTCATCTTAATTACACTCCACCAAACTCTGCTGAGAGCTCAGTTGCTCACAACTGTCATGTAGAGTTCAGTCTGTTTCATCTCCCCAAGAGACAGAAATGCATCAGAAAGGCATCACTGACAGACACATCTTGGTCAGAACTGAGCTCTGTTCGCTGGGAGAGGGAACAGACTGCAATAAACTATCAGTGAGAGGCTCCTTCATGCTTCCCAGGCTGAACAATTCCATCAGGGATTACGTTATGTTTGGAAAAATCATGACTCATATTCAGATAACTAGGTATAGGCTTCCAATTAAAGGAGATGCAGAAGCAGCTTTGAGATCTGCAGATAAGCTTGCAGTCAGCACAGGAACAGCAGAACACCTTAGACCAGGCCAGGCCAAGGGAGTGCACATTTCTGAATTAGCATTCAGAGTGACTTCACCATTTCTACTAGAAAAAAAAGGAAACTCTTTGCTGGCACAAAGGATCAAAATTCAGTGTCTCCAATGTCTCAGAGGTCAAGACTTCAGACGACTGAGAAGTGCTCCTGTCAAGTGAAGGCTCAAAGCAGTATCAACACTTACTGAGTTTTACAACTGGCTTGGATAAGGTGAAAGAATTTGGATTTAGGGTGCATGGCATATTCTTGAGAGCAGCAAGAAGGGCAGGAGAGCAAGCCTTAGGGTGAAACAGCACAGGGATGTTGTGTGAAATAAAGGACAGCAGCTGCTGGGTGGCTGGCCATGCCTGGCATTGGGCACCTGTACTTACTCCCTTTTATTTGCTGGTGCATGCTGCAGGAGATGCTTCTTTACATCCGATTCATTGAGCTTCTCATCCACTGCCACAAGCAACTTCTGAGCTTTGGCATCAACATCTCCCACATCCACACCCCCCTCGTGGTGGAAGAGCAGGAAGTCTCCCTCACGGGCAGCGTAGATGCACACGTAGAACTCTTCCTCCTGCCCAGACACACAAGTGTTAGCAAGTCACAGCCAGAGAAGACCTTGAAGAAGAGGCTCCTGTGTTGGTGCTGGGGAAGGGGCAGCTGAGCACACCGCTGAGCTTTCCAAGGAGAAAATCTTTCCAGATGCTGCCCAGGGCTGTCCTGGCTGCACTGGCCTGGGATGAACCTCAGGGGCCCAAGTGCTTCACCCCAGTGAAACATTTGACAACACTTTCCATTTCTGGAGAAAACCACTCCCATCTTACACAACCAAAGTGCAAACCAGGGTCCTCTCTCACGTGCACTGAAAGCCCCTCAGCTGCAGGGAATCCCACCTCCCCACAAACCACAGCAGAGCACGAGTATCCCACCAGCACTGCCTGAGGTCTCCCACACCAACAGTTTGTTATCCACGCTCAGGCAGCAGTGAGCCACCTTCACCAGCCACCTTGGTCCCTCTCGGGTGATCTGTAACCTCCTCCCAGCAGAGTAAAGCAGCCAATGTGATTATTAACAGCTCTTGGTGTGCACTAACACTGGCCCTGCACACAGCCCTGACCACAGGCATCGACACAGCAGCTTAACAGCATGCTCCCAAACTTCTGCTTTCTCCCCTGTATTGAGCCACCTAAGCTGCATGGAAGTCAAACAAGATTTAAAAGCACTTTTTAAATGCTTTATTTGCTATACTAACCTGTTTGTGAGGGACGAAGGGTTCAATCAGAAAATTCTTTAGGACTCCCTTGGCATTAGCAATCTGGAGGCAGAAAACAAGACAAACACCAATAAGCACTTGTCCAACATCCACATGTATGACAGCATTAGGAAGCTTCAGGATTTAATCAACACGACTCTAAAACAACTTCCTCCCAAACACCTCCCCACTCTGCTTCACGGGGAATCCTCCTCCTGCCTCTCCAGCCCAGCACCAAGCACTGGCCCTGCTGGACACCGTGGTGACACTCCAGGGTATCTGGGCCTCCTGGGTTTCAGGAGTCAGCCACCCTTCCCTGAAGGGCAGGCAGCTCTCAGAGCTGCTCCTCAGCTCCTGTGCCCCAGACAGCGCCTGCACAGCGTGGGACACGAGGGCTCCAGCTGCTGCTGGGAGCCTGCAAAAGGGAGAGGTGAGGGAGCTCCTCAGCTGGACAGGGAGTGGCAGGAGCAGAGGCCTCTGCCCAGTGCCCACCCTGGAAGTGGTGTCAGTGAGCATGGCAGAGTAAAAGAACCCTTTAGCCCCTTCCTACAGGGACAGACTGCTACAGCAAGGTCCCAGGAGCTGTCCTGCACAGGCACTTTCCTGCCATGCAAGGCTGAGTTTCTTGGCTCAAGGGACACTCCTGCACAGCCCACGGGAGATGCCCCTGCTCCTGAGGACACTGCTTCAGGACATCATTGGGTCCTGGAACTCACAAGTTCTCAGCACAGACCTTCAGAGGTGGCTGCTGTGCTGTGATAAAGAAGTGATTTCAACACCCATGGGCCTCCTGGTGGGCAGGGGCACGATGCCAGCACCACTTCACCACGGCCTGCAGGCAGCCCTGGCCCGGTGCTGGAGCCAGCAGCAGGTCAGCCACAGCCACAGCCAGGCTGAGGCACCAGCACAGCTCCACCAGCTCCTGAAGCACAGTGGCTGGGCTGGCAGGCGTGCCTGTCAGCAGCATCCCAGTGCCACTCCAGGAGAATAAATGCTACAAGCCAGCACTGGCTTCAGATAAGGCCTCCAAGTAACAGTGGGGCCCAAACACACGGCCTGGCTGCAGTAAGGGGACAATTTTATGACAGTTTTTATACTCCTCTTAAACCTGTCTTGGGTACCAGAGAAAAGCAGCTATCCCAACCAGAGAGCATCTGAGCTACCAGCTGCTGAGTCCCGGGGTGCAAGGACCTTCAAAATGGTCCCAGTTCCTGCGGAGCTCCCACCACACAGGCCCAGCCCAGGGGAGGGTAACGGGGAGCACCAAGCTGTGCTCCCTGTCGTGGTGTGGCATTTATCAGTGCTCACCTACCAGCAGGAAGCTCACATGAGAATTTCTCATTTGCTTTGGCACCAAGGATGGCAGCTTAAGCCACCATAGGCAAGAGAAATACCCACACAGCCGCTCCTGTTGTGCAGGCAGGCAGGAGAGTGAACCAGTCCCACACTTTTGTTGCCAAGGTGGCCACTCACCGTGGTTTCTTGGCCCAGACGCTGTTTGAGCCAAACCTTCACTTGATCCAAAGTGAGGTTAATTCCAACCAGTCCCAGCTTCCCACGTCTCTTTATCAGCTGATCTGGCTTCACCACCAAACGCTACGACACCGTGCAAGGGAGATTAAAAGAAAGGAGCATTACAAAGTGGTCTGGGTCGAGTGATTCTCTGCAGACAGTGAAACAAAAACTCAAATTCTGTACAGCAAATGTCCTTGCAGAATTTCTTTAGTCCCTTGTCAAGTCCATCTCCTGGTACAACACGCCTGCAGTCTATGTATGCTGGACTTTGAGAAGAGCTGCACTGGTGCTACTCAGGCACAAGCACACGCCAGAGACTGAGGTGACTGTTTTGGCCTTTTTTTAATTAACTTTGATAACTCTTTCAAAGCAGCTCTTGAGGTGGGGTAGGTCTTCCTGCTGGAGCTTTTCAAGTATACAGAACTCTTCCTTAAAGAACACAGAGCATCCTTGTTCCCTTCTGGCTTCCCTGAAGATCTTTTTAGAAGCACTGCTCATATCCTCCTGCAATTCACTCGTGCACCCGAGTGTAGAACAGTTATTTAGTGTAGGGCTTCTATCAGTCAGTACAGGACTGAAACATTCATCTTCTACCAACCAATGGCTCAATATAATTAACCACCAGAAAGCAATCAACTTGGACAACTGATAAATAGAGCTCTGGATATGTTTTCTCTACAGAAAGTGCATGGCTACAAAACACAGAGATATAAAAGACCTTGCACAGAAAAAGCAAAAAATTAACTTTTCCCTGACATTGTGCTTGGATGCAGGAAACCTGAGCAGCATCCTGACTGAGCATAAAAGCTGGCTGCAGAGAAAGCACTCCATGACTCCAGAACAGGAGGGTTTGAGAACAGGGACCAACACCTCACTGACTGCTGGGATCAGCCCCGCTCCTTCTGCAGGGTTATTAGCTGCAAACAAGAAGCTGCTATCTCTGCTCATGCATTTCACAGCTAAAGGAATTCTATAATCATGCCCCCTAGAAGGTGATAAACGGCCCTGAACAAGGCTTGTTTCTTCACCAGGCTGCAGATGAAGGTTGCAGCACAGCAGCAGTGGCCGGTGCTCCAGGGAAGGTCCCGAGCAGGACTCTGCCCACGGTGGCACCAGGGGCTGTGCTGGGCAGGGAGGTGAGGCCCAGCCCTGCCCCTCACCCTGCTGAGCAGCCACGGGTGGCCCAGCCCTGCCCCTCACCCCGCTGAGCCGCCACGGGTGGGCCAGCCCTGGCCCT